TATTCTAAAGGTTTGTTCTGCCAGCTCGCTCCCTGCTCTGCTGGGACACTGGAAAGAACTTCAGAAGATGCTCAAACCAGAGAGGAAAACCTTTATTTAAATACCCCAAAGATCGAGGGAGACCCCACCTGGAGGCCCCTTTGCCCGTGTAAGATCCTCACCACAGTGGAGATGCCCTAAATAACCCCAAATCTTTTTAACATCTTTGGGATGTAGATAGGGAGGATTTTTTGGCAAAGCAACTTAATCTTCTCACACCACAGAGCCCTAATTTGTGCTGATTTTTGATCTTCTACAACACAATGAAATCAGACATTGATGTTTTATAGGGAAAAAAATGTGGGACAGATTTTTTTCTTTATTAAAGACCCTCCTGTGCCCCCTCCCTCCCAATTTGCCCCCCAAAACCGAGGAGTTTGAGGGCAGTGAAAGTTGCCAAGGTTTCACAGCAGTTTTTTGGTGCCATTTCACTTCAGTGTCGCTGCCTCTCTCAGACTTGCAGCCACCCCAGCAGAATCAACAGTGTGTACCCAAYTGCTTTGAAATTAACTTAAACCAAGCAGATAAAATACTCCGGTAATTTTATTGCAGTTTGACTCTGCTGAGCGTTGAAGAGAATCCAAAAGGAGTCTGGAGGGTGTTCAATGTCTGCTCCTCCAGGAGATGACCACAACATTCATTTTTCCTTTTCCTCCACCCCCTGAGCCCCCCAGGACTCCACAAAGAGCAGGACTTTTTTCCAGCTCGGATTTTTTGCAGCATCCCCAAACGTTGCTCCTCTCTGAACAAGTTGATGGAGCTTGCAGAGAACATCTGTGCGTTGCCTACTTTGGGTCAAAATCTTTGGAAGAAAAATCTGTTTGGCTCTAAAGGAGGAGTTTTAAAAGGTTGGATGGAGCTTGGAGCCCCCAGYTTGGCTGTGGCTGCAGGTGACTCCTCGGTGGAAGCAGCAGCWGCTCACATCAAATCCCTGCTGGCTCGTTATCCACCAGATCCTCGCTCCAGCATCCAACTCGATGCAAAGATGATGAGAAAGTCTCATGAAAAGCCCTTGCAGAAGAGATTCTTCCTGTTGGGGGGATGGAYGAAGAAATCAGACACCAAAGAAGCTTCGAGTCAAAGGAGAGGAGGATYCTGAAGCTCCGATGGACGGAGCAGCTGCTCTCGTGGAATTTCCAGATGCTGGAGAGGGATGCAGCAGTGCCTGTGGGCAAACAGCTCTTCCTGGCTGAGCTTAGCTGGGCTAAGCTGCTGGTTTAGCCCAAATTCCAGGAAAACCATGTGGGAACCGAATGTCCAGTGTCTGGGGAGCACTGGGAACTGTAGGAATGAATAATTTTGCTACTCAGGTTTGCAGCGAGCACGGGAGATGGGGTTTGAGTTGTGTCGTTGTGAGGGTGGGAAGCAATGAACAAATGAGATGTATGATCCTGAGAGAGGGGAGGAAACCCTGTCAGGGYCCATCTTCCAGAAGGTGACTGCAAATGTTACAAATTCCCTTAAAAATTTTGGCAGGACTCAAAACCCCCTGCTCCACTCCTCCTCCTCCTAATTTTAAACATTATTTCAGCACTTTTCTGTCTGAGATTCTTTCTGTTTTCCCAAAAAATCCCAGTGCTCTTATTGGATCAGGCAGCCAGGCTCTGCCTAACACATTCCTATCCCAGAAATCCACGGAGACCTTTCCCCAAATTCCCTTTGGGACAAGCCCCATGCACTCACACTGCATTAAACCAGAGGGACCAGAACTCTTTTATTTTTCCTGTAGACAAAATAATAATAAAGAAAATTCTAATTGATACCCGTAGCGCAGAAGCAGCAGCCTTAATCATCAGTCTCGTGGTTTAATGAAACACAGCAGCAATTCCCAGTTCTCTCCACAGTGATCCCCAGCAAACAGCTCTGTTTGGTTTCCACGGGAGCGGCCGAGGCCTCTGGAGATATCTGACATGGAAAGCTTAAGGAAAATTCACAAGTGTCATTTAAGGAATGTTCGATTTGGGCTGTAACAAACTAGATGGATGAAGAGCTTCAAAGCTACTGCTCCAAACATGGGACAGATTCTCCGTGGAAGGGTTCACACYWTGTTYGWGTTTATCCTTCCCAGGATCTTCCTRATRTCCACCTCGATATTCTGAGGTRGTGTGGGAAKGRRGACRATGGTGCTAAAGATGCTAAAATACCTGACCCTCATTCCTCAAGCAGAGCAGGCAGCCAGGATCCAGCAGAGCAGAGCCTTGTGCTGGGGAAGGCACTGACCTACGGATGGACAGATGGACAGAAAGGCAAGAGGAGCAGCAGCGTGTGCCCCAAAGGTTGGTGACCACCCATGTGGGGCTCCTGGGAGAGCACCCCCTTAATTCTGCCTTTTGGGTCCCCCTAATTCTGCACTGGGCAGAGATAAAACCACAGGAGGTTTTTCCACGTTTCCAGGAGAGCAGGGCACAGCTCCTACCCCACGTGGCACCACAAGGCTCTTCYCTTYCTCACCCTGGTGGCAGTGCCACWGCCARACCCCCACCCTGGGCACCTACACCACACATCCAACCTGTGCCCCAAACATTCCACCTGGAATGAGGCAGGACAGAGCCTCTCTTCAGGGATGCAGCAGGGAAGGATGGAGAGCCCAACGCAACAGGGCTGCTGCAAAGGTGAAAAGGGTTGGTTCAAAGAAAAATCTCACTCCCAGACCAAAAGGAAAGGTTTCAGTATATTTTAATAGTAAAATGATTCTTATTTTTTTCAAGCAATGTCCCACCTGGATGAGTCTCAGCAGGATTTTTGCTTCCCGGTCCTGCTGTACCGGGGCAAAGCCTCGGAGGTCGTGGCTGTACCTGTGCAGAACAGTCCCCAAAAACTCACAGCGTGCTGCCAACACCACCAAACACCTCCCAGGCAACCACCACCACGGCACAGGACTCTGCTCAGGCTCTCAGGAGTTAAAAATTAGCTTTTAATAACAGTCTGGGTTAAGATTTGGAGCAGGCTACGGAACAGAGGAGAGGCCAAGGTTTTATTTAGTAAAAAGGAACAGACTCAGGTAGCAGAACACCTTACAGTGACTGACTGGGCAGGGAGGGGTGAGGTCAGAGCACAGCCCTCGCTGGGGTTGGGTTTGGGATGGGGAAGACAAAGGGGGTGACTGTAGGGGAAGCAGCTTCAGACTCGAACTCTGGCTCCAACAGAATGGATTCAGAAAAATATTGCATGAAAAGCCTCAGGATTTTCGTTCTTTCATAGATGTATATTTACCAGTTTTCACAAAGACTGCAGGAATACGATTATAAACAATAAATTAGGACTTCATGTTGCTATCATTTGGCATAACACAATCAGGCAATTTTTCCTTTTTTAAATATAAGGCAACACAAGCCAACACATAATTTAATCCGTCTTTAGTCAAATTGCTTAACTTTGCTAAGGAGTTACCACTAAAGAACGGGTTATAGTACACTTAAAAGAATTTAAATAATGACATGATATAAGTGTACTAACTTACGCAAGGAGTCAGAAACGTACTCTGCTAAGCTTTGAAACCTAAATATTTGTTACAGCCCAGGACTACACRTTCTAAATTAAAAAAATACAAATAAATGTTTTCTAATTTTCCCATTTACGAAAAACTTTTAAGAATCTCTAGCCAACTATGACGTCACTTCAAAACTTGTTATTTTTTTTAACTTTTTTTTTTTTTTTTAAATTTTGTATGATGTCTTTTAAGATTTTTAAACCATGCTCATTAAAGAAAGTTCAAGGAGCAAATACTTAAGGCTTTGTTTTTCCAAGGGCTGTGAGGGAGGCCAGTGGATGGCAGAGGCCAGTGGGTTCACCCATACACAATGCTACTCAAACCCACACTACCAGGCGACATTCATACAGAAATATTACACTTAAAAGTTACAGTGTAGAGCAATATTTTTAGCCAGTGTACATAGAAAGAATCAATGCATTTATTTTTTTAAATGTTTTTCTTCTT